AACATCAATTCGATGAAGGTTTGGAAACTAGGGTTTGAATATGCGATGGTTATGTCAAGAATGCGGACCGCATGTCTGCTATGCAACAAATATGCGGTCGCATATTTAACCGAAAAGGGTATTTTTGTCCAAATTTTGTTCCGAGTTTTGACCCACTATAAATAGAGTTATTGTGGTATTGTGGGGGAAATCTTGTCTGATTTTGGAGATACAATACAAGGATTTAATATTCCTCTCTTTTGGTAGCTTTTGGGTCAAGAATCTTTCACTTTGTAAGCTTTATGGCATTAAATATTCTCTTCCTTTTGTATTTTAGTATGTGTAACTAACTTTAAATACTAAGGTTGTGGACCCGAAATGAGTGTTTAACATTGAATATATGTATAATGGATGGTTGATATTTATTTACTTCTCATTCTTCATTTATTGTTGGTGTTTGCAAACATTAATAAGTGCCATTAAATTCTTACTTTGCTTGGGAAAGTGGGTTGGAATTTGGTAGAAGTAAATATCAAAGACTCAAGACTTTAAACCTTGTTTAATAGAATCGCTTAGGAATAAGTGGGTTGTATTTGGCATATATTGATTATTCTTAATTGCAACTCTTTTACATTTGAAAAAATCGTAAAGAGGAAATATTACCCAACTATTGGAAAATATTGGGGAGTCATTTAGAAATCATTTGCATATCAAAAGAACCTTCCATTAGAAATATATCATATTAACACCGATAGCATTACACTTCATTGAAGGGGACACAACCTTGGTTTCTTTAATCAAATTATTTACACTCTCAATATCACAATTAGTTATTTCTTCAAACCAAACTCAATTCATACTCTTGTTACCATTAACCGAATAGAATTACGACTTTAGTCAAGTAACACACTATTTGAGTCACCTTTTCACACCTATTCCCTGTGGGATTCAACCCCAACCTTGTTGGGTTATTATATTTGACACCGAGCGCCTTACACTATTTATATAAAGTGTAATTTGAGAGTATCACTATGGAAACATAAATTGCTTCAACAAAATTCATACGAGACAACTTGATACTATATCAACGTGGGATATGCAATTCTAAGGGAGTATGGTGCAATCTTTCTCAAGAATATCATACTAATTTTTCCTATTTCTATCTTGCCATTATGTGTTTCATCGCGATCGGTGTGTGTTAGAGGGGTTATCAAGAAAATCGGCCCAGGTATGTTAAGGTTATCCCGTCTTTCCTTTTGTCATGATCCATATGATACAAACGAAACGAGCAAATGTGCAACTTTCATAGATGATTCTATTCATAGAAGTACTAGGGGTGTCTATGTTCTTGATTCCCTATGTGTCCTATTATTTTATCATCTGTTCATGGTTCTTAGAAAATACGTAAGTTGATAAAGTTTACTTCATGATATTAATCAAAGGCATAATAGTTTTATGACATTCCGAAAGATTTTATTGACGTACTTCTCATGCATTGCATTCATTTATACATGTACATTGACCCATGACCAGATGATGTTATATACGCATATATATGTATATATATGTATAAGGGATATGGTAAAAGGTTACGATATTATATACACACCACCACCTGATCAGTTGGTATATGTTGATGATTTTGCCCACAGTGGCGGAGATGATATGATGGGATGCCCTTAGAGGTTTGATGATGTTATGTACACATATACCTATGCATGGTATGACATTTATATGCATATGCATGACATTTTAAATATTAAACGATTCACAGATCTATTCATACTTACATGTTGAGTCTTTTACTTCATGTTTCTCTCATGTCTATTTATTTACTAATTTTCATTCCTTACATACTCGGTGCATTATTTGTACTGATGTCCCTTTTACTTAGGTACACTGCGTTTCATGCCTGCAGGTCCCAATAGATAGGTTGAGAGTCCTCCAAGTAGGCTATCAGCTCAGCAGATGGTGTTGGTGCGCTCCATTTGCTCCGGAGTTACTTATTTGGTCAGTATGACTTGGATGTATATTGATTAGTATGATGGGGCCTTGTCATGACTGTTATGGTATTTATCTACTCTGAGAGACTTGTAGACACATGTTATGTATATGAAAGATAGTATAGCCTTGTCATCCTATGTTCAATGTACGAGTGATCATGTTGGTCTTATAGTCCCATATGTCACATGTATAAGTTTTTATATCATGTTGGATTGTCCTATATTGAGTATTCTCTTAGGTTTATTCTGGTTAGCCCATGACGACCCGTTTGGCCCATTTTCCAATGATAGTACAATAAGAAAGATATGTTACGTTGGTACTCGGTTAAGTAAGGCATTGGGTTCCCATCATGGCCCATCGGTTTAGGTCATGACAGAAGTGGTATCAAAGCAGTTTTATCCTAGGGAGTCTACAAGCCATGTCTAGTAACGTCTTGTTTATGGGTGTGTTGTGCACCACACTTATAAGCACGAGGCTACAAGGCATTTAAGACTATCACTCTTTCTTCTTACTTTAGATTGTGTGGTAGAGCTTAGTTTTTCAAGCCCCACACTTGGGGAGGCGTGGCTGGCACCCGGTGCCATGTTAGCCCGAGTGAACCACTTTGTAACTCATGATCGTTCAACCAAAACTAGAACATACATAGGTTGAGCTAGCTGGACTCATTCCTTTTGTAACTATTATGCGCCCACATGGCCACAACTCATAATATATAACTATAAGTGGGAAAACACTGTATCACTAAACCATTTTTCTTAAAACATGAATACATATGGGTCGTCAAGGCCTTTGATATACTGTACAAATTTAACCTCTATCTACAAAGACTCTATGAGGTGGAGTCTTACCGATCCTTAGCTGAATGCCAATCTCATCTACTATGAGGACTCATCAAACTGATTATCTATACATGCAGCCATGAATGTAGTGTCCCTAACAAAAGGACGTCAGTATGAATAATGTACTGAGTCTGTAAAGCAGAACTGAAACATAACAATAAGTCAACATTAAATAAAGACATATAAGAATCAACCTGAATCTCTGAAGTTCCACCGTATATGCATACTTATTATACTTACATATATAATGCTTCTCTTTGAGACTATTTTTGTTATCTATATCGTATCATGCATGACTGCCCAACTGATCAGTGGTAACTACCCGACCGGCCATCACACGGTGGTAAATGTATGATTTCCCAACCGGTGGTAAATAATGATACATAACTGCCTAACTGATGGTAACTGCAGAACCAGTCGTAGCCCGATGGTAAATACATGTCTGCCCAACCAGCCGAAGCATGGTAGTAAATGAAGATGCATGACTGCCCAACCGTCTGTAGCACGGTGGTAAATGTATAACTGCCCAACCGCCTGTAGCTTGGTGGTAAATGCATGACTTCCCAACTGGCCGTAGCTTGGTGGTAAATGTATAACTGCCCAACCGACCATAGCTCGATGGTAAATACATGACTGCCCAATCGGCTGTAGCACTGTCATAAATGCATGAAAATGCATGTATCACTATATTATAAACATTAACATCTTTATCATAAATCTCAATAGAGACTTAGGAACATACTTAGACATGCTTGAATATCATTTTACATGGATGAATAATGTAGACATCCTTAACTGCTAAGAGTAGAACCACTTATAGAATAGTATTTTGTTTACGTATCGTTGCTTGGCTCATGCCAAAAGAACGAAGGGATAGCCTTAACATACCTGAGCCGATTCTCTTTTACAATCCCTCTAACACATGTCTTTTGCGAAAAACATGTAACGGTGGATCAAAGTAGGGAAAAATTTGTATAATATTCTTGAGAAAGATTGCACTGTACTCCCTTAGAATCACAAAATTCCGTTGCTATTATGCTAAGAAGTCTCGTATGAATTGTGTTGAAGTAACTCACATTACTATCATATGATTAACCTCAACTCTCCATTTTTCTAACATTTAATTCATTGAAAGGAGGATCTCCAAGTTACATTACTCATAAAGAACCAAAGAAAAGTAATTATAGGACTCTTACGTGTAAACAAGGCAAATTATGTCTTATGACTCATGATGCACCTCGGTGCCACTTTGTCTTGGCTTAATGCCATGTGGCAGCCCCAAAAAAGATCCTTATTCACTTAATCCTACTTAATACCACAATTATACTCATAATTAATTAAATATCCACATAATTAAGAATTATCTCAAATTACTTAAAATACTACTCACTTTCAACACACATTATATACCTTACTATCATGATCATGTGACGCCTTGTATGAAACTAATCCATTATTACCGGGTATTATAGCCCCGATCGTATTTTATCCCAAAATGTCAAACTTCAATGAAACTCATTTTATTCGATTCACTTACCCTCTCACCTTCACGAATTTACTTTCACTTGCTTGAAATAGCATAATACTTATAATCTCCAAATAATTTTGTTCTTGAACTGATGTCAATTATCTTACGACAAATTCATCGTACAATACTACAGGGTGTAATATCGTCGTAATATAATACTACGGAGCCTAACATCATCGTAATATAATACTGCGGAGCGGAAGCCAACCCCTTTGTAGGGAAACTTTCGTATCTATGGGTTAGTTTTCTTTCTTAGAGTCTCTTGCTCTATTCCTTATACTGTCGTATCAGAGTCAGCCCGTCCTTTCGGAAGGAGGAATAGTTTACTAAATATGTCTGAGTCATTTCCATCATCCTCTTCCCTTGCAAAAATGAATATGTCTCCTACTCTATATAAAATCTTGTCCAAAAAATATGATTACCTCTATGAAGTAGATATCCTACCCGACGAACAGAAAGTATCTTCCACTGAACTACCCCTCATAAAACCCTACTCAGCTTTTGCTAAAAAATTGTTTGCACCCCGAACCCAAATTTGTTCCTTAGTACAACACCGACCAAAAGGAGTCAAAGAATATGTTGCTGCCTCAAAACTTTACCGGCATCTCTGCAATTTATTACCCTTCAAATCCCAGATGTTTTCCTAGACAATGGAGAGATCATGGTTTTACCCATATCCATTTTGGTGCTATCCGAATAGCTTTAACATATCACAGAAGAAAAGGTTAACCTGTTGTAGCTCGACTTCTCTTCTAGATACAAGATACTTGGAGTACCAACATGCAAATTTGGGTACTGCAAAAGTTACCCTGAATGCTGGGACTGTATTCTTAACTATCTTTCTAGATTTCAACATGTCCCTTTATGATCCATACTTAACCGAAGCACTAAAAATCCAAGTCCAAATCCAAGGAGCCCCGCAAGCCAAAGATTCCATCCAAGCCAGTCTTCATCACCAAATGGCGTGGCGAGTCCAAAATCATACCATGGATCTTTGCCTTCCCGGAGGAGAAAATACTTTACTCTTAAATATTGATACTACCAAAGGAAACACCATGTGCACACAAATACCCAGACAAATTTCTAGAGATGAGCTTGTCAAAATTCTTCCTGATTACTGGATCACAAATTATGAAAAATTAAGGGAACCAGAGGAATCTCTGCAATCTGGTGAACCAACTTTTACCAAAAGAAATGACAAAACCGTTTGTATAAGCTTTGACCATTCCCATCTCAAAAAACCCAATAAAACCGTCGTTTCTTTCCACATGATTCAACCCAGAGATACAACAGATACATACCCTGAACCTGACAAAAAGTTTTTCTGGAATATACAAAGCATCATGGAAGAACATGACTGGTGTCAACATTTTGGCAAAGAAGGAAAAAGAGTTTGGCGGTTCAAATGCCCCTTTACGGGACACTGCCCTTGGGATCTTGACTACCATTGCCAAGACTGTTTAGAAGACCCAATTGGAGAATGTAATGAACACCATCTGCGTCGTTGGGAACGATTTGGACTCAATAAGACCAAACCAAAATCCAAAAAAAGGGAAGACCACTGAAAAACAATTTCGAGCCAAATATGAAAGTAAAAACCCTTCAATTAGCTCATTAAGCCGTCCAGGCAAATATGAATTTCTGTTCAGTTACAAACCCTAGGAATGGCCAAAATTACCAGAATAATTCACTCCAAGCTGGGAGGATAGTGAAACCACACCCAAACCAAAATCACTATCACATCATACTCCAGAATCCAAAAAGCCACATGGACCTAAGACTTCACCAACTCAAAAAACCACAAATCCCACACAACCACAGATGTTCATGCTAGGTCCTTCAAGCTCCAGTCATACCGAAGATTTTCCTTCACTTCAACCTTTTGAAAAGGAGGGTATAAGCCATGCTCCAAAAATTTCCAAGAAAATCATAGTGCTACCTGCTGGAGAAAAACCTCCAACAAGTGACATCGAAGCAACAATGCACTGGCAATCAGATTACTCCATCTACCAAAACAAAGTACTGAACAACATCAGTAATGCCATAAAGAACGTGGTCCATAAACAAAACAAAATGATAAGCAAAGTGGAAACAATTGAGAAAACGATGGAGCAGATATCGTCGCACCATGCAGGACTAATCAAAGCCTTGGAACTAAGATTGGCCAATTTACAATATGAAATTTGACCACCAGGAACTTTGCTTTTCCAATTTTTCCAACAACAGCAAAGGGAGACAATTTCCATTAGAGAACAAATTCAACTTTTGAGAAATGACCACTTTGAGACACAAAAGACACCAGTTTTCCCCTCAAAACCTACCTTATTCCCTATGTCTCCACAAGCACATTCCCCACCTAAATTAGACTACACCTTTTATACTTTTCCATCTACCTCATAAAATCCAATCTCTTTCACCCAACCCCTAAAAGAAGAACATGATTTTGATATCGCAAAAATGGTTTGGGAAAGGAAAGATGCCTTTGCAACCCAGAAACAAACCAAGAAAAGGCGAGACCAAGGAGAATGTTCAAAAGGATCGAACCCCAAAAATATGATGATTTCTGACCAGAAGTCTCCAGACCTCTATGTCTCCCAGCCAAGAAACATATCAGAAGAAGATAACCCATGGTCAGAATCTCTAAATTTATTCGACGATGAAACAATGGAAGATAGCTCTCTATCAAGCAATGAATCCACAACAAACTCTTCCTAAGACGACGATCCCCCAATATTTGTAAGCCAATCAAAAGACCCAGAAATATCTGAAGTAGATGAGGAACAAAAAGGCATGACAGATGAACCAATCCCAGAAAGAAGATGTGAGACCATGGCGTCAAAACCAGTTGGAACTAGTTTCCACACTTTCACCTTAGATGACGTCAAGGTTTCAAAATGGCCTCAAAGGATCCAAGACTTCTATACTTGGATGGTGACCAAAAATTTGGTGGAATGGGAAAAGTATATCATCCTTTCAGAACTCACTTCACGGTTCTCAGGAATCCTTAGAGATTGGTGGAACTCATTTGGAATTCAAGACAAAAATACTTTTCTTACTTTCCAAGATTTTTCCTTCAACATCAGGATCCTACATGAAGTTTTCTACGGAGATACTAGCCAAAGACAGGAGAATATGTGAAGACAACTCTTCGAAATGAAGTGTGTGTCATTCGACAAAAATGACATTGACAGACATTGTCAAAAAATGGCAAAGATATACTTTGAAATCGGCGGAGACATCAACCTAAAGCAAACCTTTGTCTCTTCCCTTCCAAAGTTGTTGGCGAGCCAAACTATGTCCATCATTGAAGAAATGTTTCAGTCCATAAGAATCCTGGAAATTGGTTACATCAGGCAAGATATTTTTGTCGCATTGGATGACATCTGTAAGAAGCTCTCTGCCCTGAAACAAATAATCCAACACAATCCAGCTCTTGACAAAGCATGACGCAAATCTGATCTAATCACCGGATTAGGATGTTCTTGCCACACATCTAGGTGACAGAGAGGATTCAGGAGGGTCAAATACCCAACAATTCCAGACAAGAAATCAAGGTCCAAGAGACGCACAAAATTTTTTAGACGTAGAAGGCCAAGAATTTTTCACAAGAAAAACAGATGTTTTATTTGCCACAAGATTGGACATTTCGTTAAAACTATCCCCAATCAACAAGATCTGTTAAACTCCTTGAAGAAATTGAAGATTACACTGACGTACATCTCGAAAAAGAAGAGGACCTTGAATCCATATTCTCTATGGATGATGAAACTAATGAATAAACTTTATTCTCTCTTGATATCTATGAAGATCAAGGCAATGATTACTACCAAATTTCAGAACCAGTGATCGAAGCCCGAGGAGAGATCAACGCTCTCGTAGTCATTCCTCAAGTAGAGCTCAATGTCTATTCATCAAAAGGGGATAAACCAACTCGAGTTATTGCTTTCATCGACACCAGAGCTGCTTCCTCACTCATAAATCCTGCAGTTCTCCCTGAAGATCAATGGGTGCCGCACTTTAAGGATTTTAACACTGCAACAAATGGAATCCTGACTACCACCATCATCACAAAGCATCCGGTCACAATTGAGTTCTTTCCTGGATTGAAGTACAGAACCAAGATGATAGGGTTTGATGTACCAGGAAAAGATCTTATTGTTGGATTCGACATTTACATACAACTTAGGGATTATCTCTAGATCTAGGCTAACGGGATAGCTTTTAAAAAGCATATCAAACCTTATTATGAGAATCCAAGTCTATTCCAAATCACCAATGGCAAACAAATCAAAGAAATTGAGCAAAATCTCATTGAACATTCATGTGCTGAATCCCACAAGGATTTCATGAAGAAAGGGAAAAACCCGTTATGAAAAACAAAGAGTTTTTTATCAAGCTCCCTTTCAAGAAAAATGAAAACATCAATCCAATAAAAGCCAACCATTCATGCATGAATCCAGATCATCTTTAGCTTGCAAAGAAGGAATACGAAGAACTTTTGGAATTCGATCTAATAGAGTTGTCGGATACACAATGGGCATGCGAGCATTTTATGTCAAAAAAAGAGCTGAGCAAACAAGAGGAAAACTCAGGTTAGTTATTAACTACCAGCCACTTAACCACTTCCTCCAAGATGATAAATTCTATATCCCAAATAAACTTACTCTTTTCTTCCACTTAAACAAGGCCAAATATATTTCCAAGTTTGATTTAAAATCTGGATTTTGGCAATTGGGAATCCACCCTGAAGAAAGACCCAAAACGGGATTTTGCATCCCCTATCATCATTTCCAATGGAAAGTCATGCCCTCCAGGTTGAAAACTGCACCCTCTTTGTTCCAAAAATCCATGATAAAAATATTCCAACCCATCCTCCATGCCTCTTTAGTATACATTGATGACATCCTATTATTTAGTGATACATTGGAGGAACATATCGACTTGGTTCGCCAATTTGGGGCATTGGTAACACAGTACAGAATCATGCTCTCAGCAAAAAAGATGGTTCTTGCTCAAAAAGAGATTGATTTTCTCGGAATGCATTTTGACCAAGGTGCATATAGTCTAGGACCCCATACATGTCAAGAACTACTCAAGTTTCCAGATACCAGCCTCATAACAAAGCAGATACAACAGTTCATGAGTATCATAAATTATGTAAGAGATTTCATCCCAAATATCTCTACATACATTTCACCGCTCACAAAGATGCTCACGAAAAATTCTCCATCATGAGGAAAGAAACAAGATGAAGCAGTCAAGGAAATAAAGGAGATATCTAAAATTTCAAGTCCCTCTACAACCCTTCAGATGGAAAAATGATACTGCAAACTGATGCCAACAATGAATATTGGAGTGCTGTCCTATTTGAAGAAAAAGATGGCCAGAGGAAAATATGCGGATACACTAGTAGAAAGTTCAAAGATGTCGAGCAACATTATCACTCCACTTTCAAGGAAATTCTTGCAATAAAGAATGGAATCAAAAAATTCAATTTCTTCCTTATTCATACAGAATTTCTAATAGAGATAGATATAAAGGCCTTTCCAAAGATGATCCAGATAAATGCAAAAATTATTCCCAATCCTTAGATTCTCAGATGGGCTCAATGATTCCCTCTGTATAAGTTTCAAGTCAAGCACCTGAAAAGAAAGGTTAATATTCTCGCGGATTTTCTGTCCCGACCGGAAGAATTCTCAAAAAGATTTTCCCCAGCGAAGATGATGTCAAAGCAAAAATTAATCAGCCACATCTTCATGCTTTCAAATGTACCAGGAACAAGCTCATTGAAACCAACAGATCATCCACCGGAGTTGTTCAACCTCATGGATCCCTTTGATCCATCAATTTTAATGGACAGAAGAACTCATTATGAGCTCTAAGTTTTCCGACAATATGGAGGATCCATTCTTAAGCCTTATGTAGTCAATCCAGAATATCCGTTCTACATATATTCATAGCTCAAGCGAAGAATTTTCTACAAGAACTATTATGGGTTTTCTGGTACCTATGCCATCAGTTTTATATTTTCATGGAATTAAAATGCAACGTCTTCAAGAATTTTGATAACATTGCAGCAGCTCTTAAAGTATTTTTTCTATGGTTCAAACCTAGAAGATATTGGATAAAATATTTCAACGATTCCTACACAGCAAAGGTATTCATGTTCCATAGGCCAGTGAAGAGTATTAATGGAAAAGTCCAGGCGCAAGCAGAGGTATCATTCTGGTGGAAATTTTCCGTGTCCATTTTATCAATGGAAGCAGAATATAGCGAGGCACAAAGAATCCTTTTCCAACAAAATAGGTGCATCCCTAGAGAGATATTGCCAAAAGATTGGGCAAGCTAGAATTATACCAACACTCATCCTCACTGGGAAAGAGTTCGAGAAGCAGCAAAAGAATATCAAACCCCATACGAAGTCATCTGAGAAAAGATCACTTACGACATTTCCAGATTAATGTTGCAGATTACATCTCCCAATTTAAAGGAGTAAGAACACAGCTAAGAAGGACCGTCAAGTTCCAGGCGTTACTACACAAGGTCTTTGAAAAGATGCCTAGAA